TCCCACGTGATCGATCATCTAGAGGAACACGGGACAACAACGCGCACTACACGAGCGCTCCCCGCGAACTGTATGCGCGCGGTCCTATCGTAACTTGACCTACGTGCTCGAAGCGCTGCCTCCGCGTGCCCGTGCGCGCCATCTACCCCCACCACGGAGAGCGTGCGCCGTTAAAAAGTAGTCCACCCTTTCGAAATTCGATCCTTCCCAACGTGGACCGACGGTATTTCTCCTTTCAAAAAATCTATTTCGATCTCGTTTAACGTTATCCGTCGACATTTCGCAGATTCTACGTCTATCGATCGCGATATTCGATATCAATTCCGTGCCGCGGAGCGTTACACGGAACGCCGAGAGGGCGTCCCCGGCTGCCATATTTAGAAGTAGACGTTACCATATTAGGGCAAGTTTGCCAAATATGGTGAACAGAGGTGGTCCTTCCTTTTCGAATGATTGCACGGCGCGCCGCGGCAAAACACCAATCCAACTGACAGTAGCGCTTCCTGCACGCCTTTCCGTCCCCCCTCTGTCCTCTCGTGCTCTTTGAATACGTGCTAGCCTACGATTGATACCACGAGCGACGGATAACAGCCGCTCTTTTACGAGAACGGTGCTTTTCTCTACCGTCGATCCCGTATCTCCTCTTCCATCGATTTTCTTCTTACATTTTACCTTCGACCGATTCAAACGCTATTAAAGATTCCTTTACAGGCAAAACTTTAACTTTTCTTTTACAATAGATATATATCGAATTTCTCCCCATTACAATTAAATCGATTATATTTACGTTTTTCATACAGAACGGAATTTTATTAGGTTGATACCCGATATTGTATTGTCTTAATGTATGGTGATTATCTTAAATAAAAAAAAATAGAAAACTTTAAATATACTGCAAATACGATATATTATTATTATTCAACATTCAAGATATTTACAAAAAGTCCCTATCTAAACCTTCTATATTACTATATTATTCCTAATATTTTCAAATAGTTTTTCTACAAGAAACAAAAATATACTTTTTTTTTTTTTTCTATCAGATTTCCTTTTCATGCCAGATTCTAATACTGTTTTTTTACATTTCATAAAATATACTGTAGCATATACTGTACTTTAGCATTATTAATATCTTTTTTCAAATACTCTCTATAGAATATAATTACAAAATTTGTTCTTATTAATATACATACGTACATACATACATACATACATACATACATACATACATACACACATGCATGCATACATACATATATACATATTTACATCAATGCATATGATGCATGTATTTACATTTCCTGTTAACAACTCTTACAAAACACATCATAGAATAATTTTATCGTTCCACTTATTATGACTTATTCTTTCCTTTATTAGGACAAAATATAAAATTATTGATTAAAAAATTTTAATAAGTATTGACTTATACTGATATTGTTGCTATTTTTAATATTTCTTTATGACTCAACGACAGAATGTATTAGAAATAAATCCCTCGTATGTATCAAGAGTTCATTCCCCTGGTGCGATCGTATGTGCCGCAGAAACCAAAGTGTCGTGTATCTCTTTGGCGTATGCCACTTGTGAGCGTACAGTCATTAAAAATTGTGGATATGTTAAAGCTGGTCCTTCTTGAGCTCCTACTGTATCGGTCCGCGTTGGTATAACGGACATCGGTAGATATCTAACGGAACTAGAGTTTTGTGATAAACATTCTATAGATGTTTTCAAATGTAATTCAATTTGATCGCATATAGAATAAAATTCCTCCATATTTTTATTAAATCGATGATCAGGTTGATCTATCCCTTTTAAAGATCCAACGTCTACCAAACTATTTTGATGCAAAGTCTGTGCTGCAGTTTTAAGAGCTATCGCCAAAGAATCTCTCAATGGTCCAACTAAAGATTTTACTTTAGAAATATTATCTAATTTTTCCTGAGCTTGTTGCTGTTGTTGCTGTTGCTGTTGCTGCGCTTGCTGTTGTTGCGCCTGTTGAGCTTGTTGTTGATTCTGAGGAATTTGAGGATTTACAGGTTGTGTCAACTGATTTACCGCCATTGTTCCTGGTTGTTGAATTGGTGGTATATTCATTTTGACCTGTTGATTTGTTAATTTGTTAATATTCATTTTTAATTTACTTTACTCATTATATCATTTCTTAACGAATAAATATATCTTATATAGAGGACAATGAACTCCTTCAAATTAATATCGATTCATATTTTTAAATCCTATCATTGTATAAATATAAATGACAAATATAAATGTTTAAAACTTTAAGAAATATATGTACAACATAAATGTACAATTTTAATGTACAAACGTTAAATGTAATAGTACAAAAATTCTCTATACTTGATATAAACATAACCAAGTTTAAACGATCTCATTAAATAGAACAAATTATTTAAAGAATTACAATGTTTTATTATCAATACTACCTGCAAGAATATTCATATAAGGATATTTACCTTTTAGAAGAATTGTTTTTTCTTTTTTTATTTTTTTTTTTTTTTTAATTTAACACAGAATCGTAGAAATACTTCAGATTTTATTTTACTTGAAGGCAAGATAACTAAACCAATATAATTCTGACATTTCAAGATGTAATATTTAATTATGTAATTTTAATTATGAAACTTATTAATTATTCACTTTTTGCATACGAACAAAGTTAAAAGTTTAATACTTCAAATAACATAACCGTTCTTCCACTTGTAATTATGTCTTTGCAAATTCACGAAATACAACACACCGTTAAATCGATCGAAGATCATATCGAGAATGCATATCGATTATAGTCGATTGTCGAGAAAAGCCAATCACGAGATAAACATATAACAACACATTTCAATATGAGCCAATCAACGAGTATCTATCTATAATTCGATTACAAACATTTGATACGAAGGAAAACTCCGAGCAAAGGTTAAATCTAAATTTATATTTGATTAATATTTATCGATTATACATTAACGTTGTTAATAAATATTAATGACTTCTCCACTTTGATAATATTAATTCGAATTATATTATTTCTATTTTTAATTTACATTAAAAGGAAATATTTTCAAATATAATAAAATAATTATTTTGAAAATATTCAAAACAATTCTTATTAATATTTTAAACAATGAGATACGATCGGTTGATTAAAGGCGAAGTTAAAGGAAATTTATACGTTCTCAACTGGTATCCATTATCTACCAATGAGATTACGCGTACGGTGCAAACGTCGCATTACATATGGCGTCAGGAAACCGACGCCATCTAACGACTGGCATTCCTGTTTTTTTCGTGCGGGTAAAACCACGGCTTTCTGGAGCGCGGAACCCCTTTCACGGTTTTGTTTGTAACATCCAGTGTTTTAAGTGCATTTCGTTGTGATCCTTGCGATGCCGTGCATACGGTGAATGAGATGATATACGCGGGAGAGCGTTCACGCGCGAGAGAAATGTGTGGGAAGATGAGTTAACCGTGTGTTAAAGCGCGCAGCGGTCAACCTTCCGACAAGTTTAGTACGGGAATCTATCCATATTCAGGACTTGATTGCACCGAGGTAAATACGCGTATGAGTGCAAAACAAGATACGTACATACAGTTTCTCGACTTTCTCGCCCACTCGTTGGAACTTGGAAACATCGTTCGTGTTTATGTTTACCCCTCTAATTACCCCCCTCCCCCCTTTCCATTTTCCGCCCGCCACCCTGCTTCTCTTGCCTTTTCTCTCTCTCTCTCTCTCTCTCTCTTTCTCTCTCTTGTTCTCTCTCTCTCTCTCTCTCTTCCTCTCTCTCTCTCTCTCTCTCTCTCTCTATCAGTCGCTTTCTTTCACTCTATCTCACTTATTCCTTGATTTTTTTTCCTCTTTATCTTCATATGAAAATTCTTTTTTTTTATTATGATTATTATTATTATTATTTTTATTATTATTATTATTATTATTGTTATTATTATTATTATTATTTGTTTTCTACTCTGATTCTTATTTTTTGATATTACCAGTGTGCATTGTTTTCTTTATCATATAGTGTATATTATATGATTAAAAACATAAAACATATATTTATAATTGAAATCTAAAAATCAATCTATTATTTATATTGTGAATAATCTTCATATGATTTAAACATAATAGTAAGTCGTTGTAATCAACGATTAGTATATGACCTTCTTCAAAGTTTGCAAGATATTAATAGATCCAAATGATATTTTTGGCACGAATATGTATTTTCTTTCTTTGTTACTTTGATATTTACAATGATATATCTTGTCATAATATAATGAACATATTTTTGATTTTTCATAAAGCTTTAGTAGAAGGGTCAAGTAGTGGAGAATGAGTGCATCTGCTGTAAAGTCATCTATATCTGGAGTAGGGACATCTCCCACTTCGACTACTCACTCCATGCTTCCAATGAATGCTATGGCTCAAAAAGTAGTTCCTGGAACTGAATCAGGATCTATGAAACCTTTAACAGGAACAGGATTAAGCTATGTTACGTTGCAACCACCCAGTCAACCTCTCAGTTTGGTACAAGATCACAGACCATCAGTTTACCAAACACCACCTTATATAAGTAACAATTCTGAAAAGGAGTCAGAATCGGATAAGCTTATACCAAACGGTGTAGAAACTATAAAGGTAGAAACAGAGCAAAGTGTACCTGCTCCTGTAAAACCTAGTGAACCAAATAGAAATAACAACTTGAGTCCTGAAAATCCGACCCAAGATGAACAACGAGAAACTCCAGTAGAACCAGAAACGATCCCTCATGCCTTAGAATTTTCAGGTTGACAATTTATATTAATTATGTTTGTTCATTCATTATAGAATATATTTTATTTATTTCCGATTAAATATAATCTTTAATCAAATCTTAATATTTTCTTTTTTAGCGATGTGTCCCCAAGGACAAAACAAAGTTGAAGAAAAGAAAACTACTGTAAATAATGGCTCTAAAGAAGCTGAAGGTGTGCCAGTTAATGCTTCTCTACAAACAAAGTTAACGACGCATAAAACTGAAGATGCTCAAGTAAAACCCGAAGTTCAAAAAAACAAACCAACGAATCAGAGTGCAAAATTGAGTGGAGATAGTCCACCCGTACAACCATCAAATAATTCTTCAAAACCCGAAACGAAAGTTACAGCTTCACCAAAAGCTAATAAACGAAAATCTAGAGAATTGAAAGATTTGAAAGGAGTATCTGCGACTCCAGATGGGGCAAGTAAACCTAAGAGAAATCGTGTACAAACACAACCTTATCAGAGTCCTTTGCCAGAAATCGCGTTGCTTGTCAAAAGTTTAAACAAGTCTCCTGCGACAAAAGCTGCGGATGACAAGCTAATAGTATTCTACAAGTAAGTAATCTTAATTAATATGTAAAGATGATAATATAATGCAAACTTCATACACAAATATTTATACAAATCTTTTTAATACGTATCGAAATATTAAATCTTTAATCAATGAAACAGTGATAAATGTTTGTTTTTTTTCTTCTCTTTCTTTTTTTTTCTTTTTTGTTTTTTTTTTTTTTTTTGTTTTTTTTTTTTTTTTTAGAAATGAATTCCTGGCTGTGAGAAATGCAGAAGGAAGTTTTTACGTTTGTCAAGCGATGCAAAATATTTATAAATCGAGCAGGCGTATTCGCATACGTTGGTTATCGCAAGATAAAAATAACGGTGAAATTTATTCTCCAGATTTTTACGACTTTATAGGTAATTTAGATTAATATTTACGTTAATATATGTTAAAAATATATATATATATATATAAAGCTAGATGTTTCATTCATTTCTATTATTTTGTTAAAATTAATAGATTTAACGATATTTATAAAAATAGAAGAATAGAATCTATTCTATTCTCTTAGATGTTTCTTTCTTATTTTTCAGATTTCGATTGTATATTAACGAACCTAAATCTGAATAAAATTGATAAAAATAAATTTCAATTAACGAAGATAGAATTATTACGTACAGAAAATATATTAAAACGAGCGATCGATGTAGAGGCCGGAGTATCTGAAAAGCCTAGAGTTACGGAAGAACATCCAGATGGACGTAAGTATTTTAAATATTGACTTTTGATGAAATAATGATCGTTCGTTGGGAACAAAATGTTTTATTTCCCCTTTTTTTTTTTTTTTTTTTTTTTTTTTTTTTAACGAATACGCATTTTTCTTCCAGTCGATTTGTCTCTTTACAAAGATGAATCGCAATTAAAGAGAAGAAGAGGAGGTCACGGCCCATACAAGCAGAAACAAGGCCAACGAAAGAAATCGAAACGTTCGGCAAGTTCCTCCGAAGACGAAGGATCCGAGGACGAATCAAAGGATGAAAAGAAGTCATCGAAAACGGGACGTTCTAAAAAGGGATCGGTAAACAAAGCGTTAGCGATCGCAAAATCGGTTGCAAAAGGTTCGAGCAGAGCGGAAAGGGCATTAAATAGAAGCACAAAATCAGGGAACAGTACGGGTAGCGAGTCCACCGGTGGCACTGCTGCTGCCACTGCTACTGCCACTGCTACTGCAGCAGCAGTACCCGTGAATAACGCCGCTACGCCGACGACTCCCATTGATTCAGCTAAAAATAATGGTGCTGAGCCTAAAAAGATCGATGCGAAAAAAACGACGACGAAGCAGCAGCAGCAACAACAACAGCAACAGCAGCAGCAACAACAACAACAACAACAGCAACAGCAACAACAGAGCAACAACAACACGAGTGGTGTACCAAGGACGAAGCTTCGTGGTAAGTGAGTTCATTGAAATCCGTTAGTTAAGTTTCTGATGTTTCTGTAGCTACGAATAAAATATTATATACAGGGCGTTTAGAAATTCCTATTAAAAATTACTAAGTCTTATGAACGAGGACTGAGTAAATAAAGTTTTTCAATAGGAATTCACGTACGTAAACGTACCGTGTTATAAAAGTGAAACAAAATATAATAAATCGTTTAAACTTTTATTGACTTCAAAAAAGTTACTAACATGTAATTCTAATTTTAATAAAAATAAAATAAAAATCAAAAAAAAAATAATAATAATAATAAAAAAAGTATTTCCAGTATTTCCCTACGGAAAGGATATTTTATATATCGTCGTGTCATGCGAGCTCATAAAACGAGTGTGTTCAATGTATCAAAACGTATTTCACAAGTGCAATGCAACGAAATTAATGGTCGCCATATGGAATCACAGGATTCAATACCTAAAACATATGTTTTTAATTACATAAAAAAATATAATGACATTTGTTTCGTGAAATGACATTATTTAAAACACATCCTTTCCTTACAGAAAAAAAAAAAAAAAAGAAAAACTAGAAACATTTGTTTTAATTGGAATTGATATTTACGTCAATAATATTACGTCTTCGATCTTACGCAAGTAGAAGTTTTGATTTTGTTTAACTTGTAAGATGATACGTTTCCGGACATAAATTTCTATTAAAAACTTTATCCTTTCAATCCACTCTACAAGTTTTTAAGAGTTTGCAATAGAAATTTCTAAACGCCCTGTACATACACACAACACATATATATATATGTATATGTATATATATATGTATATGTATATATATTATACGCATATACAGAGTAATCTGTATAACTGGAATGATTCGATATCTCTGTTAATATTAAATTTAACGAAAAAGTCTGATACTATTTGTTATATTATCACGAAGGGGGCCAAAATGATGTATTATTTTAAATATTTTTATTATGTTTCTGATTCTAAAAATTGCAAAGGTATTATTATTTAGTTTTTAGGCAGAATAACAGCGAATTCCTTATGCTCTTTATATAGCGAAAAGTGCAATTCCTAAACTACATGAAATATCCAAGAACCCTTTTGGATCTTTGTGTTTCGTATCTAAATTTAAATGTGTGTATGTATGCGTGAGCGTGAACGTGTGTTTGTCTCTTTGTGTATGCCTGATCTACCGTCCAAACGATTGCATAGATTGAATTGAAATTTATATTAAAGAATAAAATTACTTTCGAACGAGATACCACAAATAATTTCGGTTTGATTTAGAGCCTTTGACAGGTTTTAAAATAGCGAATTGAATTTCAAAAATTAAATTAATTCCAATACAAAATTTCATATGCAATGGAATTAAATTAAAATAAATAAAAATTGTCTAGGAATAATCTATTAATTATTTCAACTATAATATTTTAACCACTATTTAGTGTTAGCAACTGTTTGTCACGTCTATTCAGTCCCCGTACAGTGATGCTGGTTTAAATGTAGCCCAACTTCATTTTTTTTTCTTCTTTTTCTTTTTGTAATATAACAAAAGGTATAGACAGAAAAATTGAAAAAAATAAATAAATAAATAAACAATCAACTATATTAAGTATCGTAACTATGAGATCATTTTTATCCGATTTATATATTAGATTTCATTATTCAGGTTCATTAATCATGGTATAAAATTTAATTGACCGATTATCGATGCGATGAATAAAATATAAAAAAAAAAAAAAAGAAAGAAAGAAAGAAAGAGAAAGGAAAAGAAAAGATTATTGTGAATATAAAGGAATCCTCTAATTGCGGTTTTTAAATAATGTTTGTACATAAATACTTACGCCATTAGATTCAAGTTAATTATTTATTCTTGTTGTTACTGCACGATTAACAAGCGTGAGACGAGAATTTGGCCTCCATCGGGGACCTTGCTCTCTGGATACGCGAAAAGATTTGGAAGCACGATTTGGGAAAATAATTCTGGACCACGGATGATTCGAATCCGGGTTATTTGTATTCCGGGCGACTGTTTTGGACCACTAAACCATCCAGCCTGACAAATGTCTATATACAACATTAGGAATGGAGGTACTTGACCCCACGCTTGGTTATCATGTGGCAACACATTTTCAACCTGATATATTCATGTTCCCTCTTTCTCAAATAATTTTGAAATTTTCAAGGATGCCCGGCGCTTAAGACCATCTCTGCCAACTTTTCCTCGTCACCAATCGCGTCGCGTTTGCACACAAACGAACAAAATTTATGGAGAAGTTTTGTTTTCCCTTTTTTTACATTTTTCTTGATTTTTTGTTTTTTTTTTTTTTTTTCCTTCTTTTCTTTTCTTTTTTTTCCGTCTTACCAAAACTAAATAATACAATTGAAATAAGTCGAATGTAGATAACTTTGAATTTATAGTATTTAATGTAGCTCTTTCTTTTTCTCTCTTTTTTTTTTTTTTTAACATTATCTAAATTTTTTTTTTTTTTTTTTTTTTTTTTTTTAATTTTGTTTTGTTTGAATTCTTTTGTGTTGTCTTTTTGTTTTATCTTTATTTTCTTTTTTTTTTTTTTCTTTTTTTTTTTTTAATCCTACTTCGGATAATATAACGTACGTCTCAGACTTTTTTGTTAAAGTTAATATTTATAGAGATATCGAAGTGGTTCCAATGTGAACTACTCTGTATATATATATATATACATATGTATGTATGTATGTATATATATATATATAGCCGCTAAGAAGATATTTTTGTTATATATATAAAAAAAAAAAAAAAAAAAAAAAAAAGAAATATTTATATATATATATATATATATACATTATATCTCGTGAAAAAACGCGCTAAAGAATGTTCGGTATGTTCAAAAAAGGATGATGATAAATCTGTAGGGTCAGCTCAAAACACACAGCAAGGCAATAGTACTGCGGGACGTCCCAAACGCGTAGCTGCTTCAGCGAGTATTCTGTCAAACGAAGAAGCAGCACCACGGAAAAAGCCACGTGGGCGAGCGTAAGATTAACATGTTATTGTTTTTCTTATGCCATATTTACAGCAGAGTCTGTATCGTAGGCAATATGTACGTGTGGTACACTCTTTAAAAAATTGCAATCAATTTACAATGTAATATATATATATGATCTCAAGATTCATGAATGTACCAAATGCTGCGTTATATTATAGTCTAACGATACGGGATCAATGACTTATATTACGATGCGGCAATTCGCATTTCGAAAACTAACTCCGAGACTTAGAGAGAGAATGATATTGTGATATCATGCAAAATTTGTACATATCGTCTACGTCTCAGACTCCTCGGAAGAGAAGAAAGTCACGGATAGTATGGAAAAATGGTACCTTGGTTGAGTAATAACTATCTAACAGGGTGTCACATGCTAATGCACTCTTGCAATAGTCTATTTTTGATGTTGTGACTGAACCATACGTGATTCATTTGAGTTTATTGTACACTTTCCATTGGATATGATAGCTATGTACAAATATATATGTCTGGGATTTGTATGCATTCTGTAAAACAGATATTATAAGGCAGGAAAGAGGGGGGGAGAAGGAAAAGAAAAAAAAAAGATAAAAAAAAAAAAGAGAAAAGAAAAAAATAAAATATATAGGGTAAACGAAAAAAAAAAAAAAGAAGAAAAAAGAATAAACAAAAAATTAATTGCGTGAGCGATCCGTGAATTTATCGATCTCCTATCTGTAGATCGATGAGATCTAGAAGTACAATATCTGTACATTTACGCTGAATCTTTGCTGTTTAAAAAATAGCATACAGAATGGTCCAGCGCCTATATAAAGACAGGCAGAGAAAAGAAGTGCCCTGAATTGTAATCCCTTGCCTCATTGTTGAATCCACAGATTCATTGAGAGAGTCTTATATGTAAAAGGTAGCACATTGATCATAGTTTTTATAGTTTATTTTCAAAACTACATTTATCCAAATGAATTTGCACTGCGATCGATATATAACATAGTAAAAAAAAAAAAAAAAAAAGGAAAAAAAAAGAAAAAAAAAAAGAAATAATTGAGATCGCTAAACACACAGTGGTGCCACATATGATTTAGCCACATTAAACGTATTTACACTTTAGAGCGATGAAGAAGAAGAAGAAAAAGAAGAAGAAGAGGAAGAAGAAGAAGGAGGAGGAAGAAAAAATTAATAATAATAATTAAAACAAAAAAAAAACAAAACATAAAAAAAAAAGAAGTAATGCACTTATTTCCTCTTAATAAGTCTTAATTAAAAAATGTATAAATTTGATTTATGCATATACATTATTTTTATCAAAGATCGTGGATAACTTGTTGCAACGTGAACGCGTATATCGCAAACTATTTACTAAAGCATTCCGTTCCTTGGCTGTGCTTGTTAAGAAATTATTCGTTCTCTTGATCGTCCTATTACTTTTATATGAAATGTCTTCCTGGTTATTTTTTTCCCCTCTTTTTCTTTTTTTTTTTTTTTATCTCTTTTTTTTCTCTATTTTTTTCCTCTTTTTCCCCTCTTTTTTCATTCTTCTCTGTCTCTCTCTCTCTCTCTCTTTCCTCCACAATATCCGTAAAGTAAAATATTCTCATCGCTTTTGGTCATTCGTTTATATCCAAGAATTGATATAATCTTGAGTTACCTTGAATCTTTCATAACAATCACTGCCACTATCACGAACGGTGCTCGTGTTTAAAATAATCGCGTAAGACGCGTCCACGTTGCAGTGTATATTTACTATATATGATAGATAATTATTATTTACTCTTCACCAAATCTGAATTCTTATACTTTTAACGTAGCTGATAGTTTACAACATGTCGAGATGTATTTGTATTAGTGAAAGGGCGTATTTTACGTCGAAACATTGAAAATGGGGACTTATAAAGACATCGATTTAAATGAATTGTGTAATTAACAGAGAGTTATTGAGAAACGAAACAAAGTAAAAAAAAAAAAAAAAAAAAAAAAAGGGAAAAAGAAAAAGAAAATAAGAAAGAGAAAAACAAACAAACAAACAAAAAATATATTCATTTTTCTACATTTACGGTATTATGGTTAGAGACTCGCGATGGATTACAAAAAATAGTTACTGGACCACTTATATGAAATTGAGTCGATTAAATACGACTTTTGTTTTGAAATTATGAATGAATTAGTAGCGCAATTTAATTAATGTTGAGTTGCGAGAGAAAGGAGCAAAAAGAAAAGAAAAAAAAACAAAACAAAAAAGAAAGAATAACGGCGTGTTTTTAAATGTTTTCGAAAAGTTCGAAGGATCGTAATGTGTTCTCGTGGGATATTTTAAGCGATTAAATCTTCAAATTTTTTATGAAGCGTGCAATGGCAAAATAATCTGTTTATAATTCGAAGAGATCGAATAGCTTTATGTGTAAAGTGGAAACATAAGAAAAAAAAAGAAAAAAAAAAAGAGAGAGAAAAGAAAAAAATCAGAAAAAAAAAAGAAACAAAACGAAAGACGATCATTTTTATTTGAGAAATTCGAAATCTTTGTATACCGACGGTCGATAAAAACGCACACGATCAATTTCAGACGTGTCGGTAAAAGAAGATTCACCTTGTATATCTCTACTTATCTTCCACATTATTGCTCTCTTTGAGGTAACCATTTGTTGAGAGATTGTACATATTAAATTTTTTCTAGATTTTATTAGAAGGATTGTTTCTTAATTCGTAAATCGTGTTAATAATTGCTCATTGTAAAAAGAAAAACAAAAAAAAAACAAAAGCAATATCTATTAAAACGAATTGAAAACCATGCGTAGGCAGAGGCAATCGACTTGTATTGGCTTCATCATAATGCCATCATATTTTCGATAACTTAATTTCATATCCCAATTGATTATTGACATTTCGAATATATAATTTTTTTTTTCTCTTTCTTTTTTCTTTTTATTTATTTTTATTCCATACAATAGAATAAAATAGATGGGAAATCGAACCTTCTTTTATCGACGTGAAATCGATTGATGTGCTGTTATTGATTATCGGTGTACGCACTTTTTTTTTGTTTGTTTTTTTTTTTTTTTTTTTTTTTTTTTCCAAATAAATTCTAAAAAAATCTTATTTGCTCACACACACACACACACACACACATACACGTATATATATATATATATATATAGTATGTATGTATATATATATATAGGGGTGTTCCTAAAATCGGTGGTACAAGCAGACATATGAAAATTTACAATTACATTGCAGTACAATTTATTATATGTGTGTGCGCACGCGCAAAGGATAGATTTTCTTATAATAATTCCAATATTTTGTTTGTTAAAAAATGTTCGAAATTTGAAAAGAGATATTTTCATCATTGTCGAATCAATTTTCTTAGATATAATTTGGATTTTCAAAAGAAAAGGCTTTTTCTTTTTCTTCTTTCTTTTTTTTTCTTTCTTTCTTTCTTTCTTTCTTTCTTTCTTTCTTTCTTTCTTTCTTTCTTTCTTTTTTTTTTTTTTTTCTTTTTTTTTTCTTTGACAATAAAGCGTCGTATAAAAAATTTTTATTCCAAAACTTTCGACTTGTTTTGGAATTTGTTCTGTATATTGAACTAATCCGATCCCTGATTGTATCGCACAGAATTATGGAACATCCTAATTTATACATGTACATATTGCAAAACTTATGTTATAAATCTTGACCGTTGAACGCACAAAAACGGGGGAAAAAAGAAAAGAGAGAGAGAAAGAGAGAGCGAGAGAGAATTGTTCGGACGAAGAGAGTTCGTTCTTTAGTCCTGTTTTAATCACATTGTACATAGGAAATTAGATAATCAAAATTAATAATGAAGAGATGGAAAAGAAAAAAAAAAGAATGACTTATATTATTGTTCTCGAAGAAAAAAAAAATGCAAATACACAAAAAATCCAATAAATATATATATATATATATATATGTATATATATATAATACACATACATACATATAGGTACTTGAATCAAAGAAACCCTCCTCTTGTTGTCTTGTCTTTCTGTTTGTTTCAACGGTCAAAAAAAAAGAAAAAGAAAGAAAAAAAGAAAAATAATTAAAAAGGAAAATTTTTCCTCCCTGGAATAAAAAAAAAAAAAAAAAAAAGAAAAAGCCGAAAGAAAATAAACGAAAACTTGACGCAGAATAGTTCGACCTGCCGGTACTCTGCATCTATCTTGCTTGTGAAAGAATGAGCTAATTTTTTTTTCTTTTCTTTATATATATATATATATATATATATATATATATATATTTTTTTTTTTTTTTCTTTTTTTCTTTTTTTTTAAGATTGCCACGACTTCTCATTGTTGTTTGAACAGAACGAACGAAACGAAGAAAAAGAAAAAAAAAAGGAAAAAGGAAAGATAAGAATGAGGCCCCAGGCATATCGACCTCTCTATCGAAAATAGAATATGATATAATTATCATATTAAATGGTTCAGATGAATTTGAATTCTTTTTTTTTTTCTTCTTCTTTTTCTTTTTCTTCTTTTTTATTTTCCTTCTTTCTTTTCTCGCTTTTATTTTTGAGCTGGGAGACAAGTAAGATATCAATCAAGTCATTGGTCCATCGCATATATGTGTGTGTGCGCGCGCGCATGCACACACACACACACACTGTATTTCAAGAAGAAAGGATTAATACATTCATACACATATATATATATATATATATATATATATATATATATATATATACACAAAGAAAGACACATCCACGCACCTCACAACCACCGACGTAAAAGTTTACGTATGGAGACGAAAGAAAGAAAAAGAAAAGGAATAAAAAAAAAAAAAAAAGAAAGAAAGAAAGAAAAAAAAGAAATAAGGAAATATAGAAAAAAACATATTGTATAAATATAGTAAAGAATTCTAATACGATTATCGAATGATTTCTTTGTTTTTGTTGTCATTCAAATATTTTTCGTTTCTTTCATTTTTTGCTTTTCTTTTGAGAATATTTTTTGTGGGTGTTATCTATATACGTATACGTATATGTATATGTATATGTATATATATATATATATATATATATATATATATATATATATATATATATATATACATAACATATATTGTTCTTCGAAACGAGTACGGTTCTATCTACTTTTCTCTAACTCTTTCTCTCTCTCTCTGCCTCTCTCTCTCTCTCTCTCTCTCTCTCTCTCTCTCTCTCTCATTCTCTCTCCTCTTTTTCTCTCTTCCTTCCCTGTCCTTCAACTTGGTTGTACCTGACTTTATCTATTCAACAGATCTTGAATAAGGTGCAAATACAGTTTAAATATTATTCTTCATCGTCGTCATCGTCGTCATCGTCGTCATCGTCGTCATCGTCGTCATCGTCGTCATCGTCGTCATCGTCGTCATCGTCATCGTCGTCGTCGTTGTCGTCGTCGTCGTCGTCGTCGTCGTCGTCGTCGTCGTCGTCGTCGTCGTCGTCGTCGTCGTCGTCGTCGTCGTCGTCGTCATCGTCGTCATCTTTGTCATCAACATTTCTTGTCAACGTCGTCGTACCCATCTACAGAAGATTCAAGTCCCAACGTATACGATATGAAAATTTTTTCTAAAGTCCTTAAACTTTTTGTCTCTCCTCTCTTTTGGCTTGTTTTAATGATAAATAAATAAATAAAAAGGGGTTATTTCCTTAAGTCGTCTCACATTAAAAGTTTCTTTTCAAAACACTTATCTTTTTTTTATTTTTTTTTTTTTTTTGTACGATATTAAAACACATTTTTTATGAATACACATTAAATTGGGTGAAAGTGAGTGAACAAAGATTTTGGACATATTCGGGGATAAAATTTATCCTTATTATTCTACCCCGTTATTATATAATTATTATGATTAAGATTATGATTATTATTATTATTATTATTATTATTATTATTATTATTATTATTATTATTATTATTATTATTATTATTATTATCCTTATCATTATCAATATATATATATACTATTTTATTATTATTATATTAATATTATTATATCTATTATTAGTATATATTATTATTGTTCTTGTTGTTGTTGTCCTTTCGGTAACGATGAGTCATAAACTTTTTATATATATATATATATATATATATATATATATATATATATATATATATAAAAGGAGAACGCGTCCATTAAACCGAATGATTAATGAGTTTATATGTATATATGTACGTAACCTACGCACAAATTGTACACCTGAGAGACGCGCGCGCGCGCGCGCGAATTTGATGATGTAATGATTTCAAAAAAGAGAGATCACAAAAAATATCATCACAAAAAATATCATCACGATCGTCGTAATTAGTTCTACCGATGACTTGGACGGAGTCGCACATTTTTTTTTTTCTCTTTTTTTATACACCGATGACATCTTGTCCTCCGATTAATTATTATTATATTATTATTATATTATTATTATATTATATTATATTATATTATATTATATTATATTATATTATATTATATTATATTATATTATATTATATTATATTATATTATGTTATTATTATATACTATTATTATTATTTAATGTGCAGACGATTAATTTTTTCATTAAGTTTTTTTTTTAAATTACTTATTTTGTAATAAATACATTAAAGCTTTCGTCTTCGTCGTCTCCGTCGCCGTCGTCGTCGTCGTCGTCGTCGTCGTCGTCGTCGTCGTCGCCGTCGTCGATTGGTGAGACGCCGCCGAGATAAATTGTGCAATGTAAGCACGTTTCTAAACTTTATGCTTTTCTTACATTCGTAAGATTAATTAAAATCAATTCACGTATTGTCGTACGTGTTGTATTATGCAATCGATGAAAATTATTGGTATGAGTTTTGGCGAGGAGAGAAATAAAAGGAAAAAAAAAAGAAAATAAATAAATAAATAAATAAATAAGTAAATAAAAAGAAACGTACATAATAATACAATACCCATCACACCAACATATATAATAATACATACATACCTTTATTGTGTTATTCGTCGTGATCATTGTTTACCTTGTAATATGCAAGGGGAAAAAAAAAAAGAAGAAGAAAAGGACGTAAGACGTTGACTTTTCTTTTGTTTTTTTGTTAAGACGAAAAATTAAAAGAAAAGATTAATACGATCGTATAAAAATTATTATATCATGTTGACAGAATGCGTATCGACTTGAAAAAAAGAAACACTTCTTGTGCAATTATATCACATATATATATTATATATATGTACTTCGATTTATATTCACCTCCCCTCCTTTTTCTGCTCGATAAAAAAAAAAGAAATCTAAAAAATCTCAGATAGATGATCGAGAATTTCTATCTCTCGTTAGTTAAATTCACGTGAATTCTGCGATACTTGATATCTATCTACATTTTCGTAATTATAGTGCTGTGTTACTTCTGAAATTTTTATCAAACGTTTCGTACTATATATATATATGTAATATATATATATATATATATATATATATATATATATATATATATATCGAATATCGATTTTTATATAACAATACAATTAGGTGTAAAACTGTAAGCGTATCTGTTGGTGTTTTTTTTTATTTCTTTTTTCTGTTTTGTTCTGAGGGTCTATAGTCGAAGAGAAGAGTGTATAACAAACAAAAACAAAGAAATGATACATGTAACGAGTGCGTTGAAAATGAATTTTTTCGAAAGTGAAAAAGTAACGAAATGATGTGTTAAATATATAAGTGCTCTTACCGAAATGTTTAACGAAAAAAAAAAAAAAAGGGAGAAAAA